GATTCTGGGTTTTATCTGAAGTTCAGAAGAGCTGATATCAGGATAAGAAGGTTCAGAAAGTGAGTTTCAGGATTTCTCCTGCCAACCCGGATGACGTTACATGCTGCGGACATCCCCAGCTTCCCTGCGGAAGGGATGATGGAGTTCTCCATCACTCACTGCCCGGCACTGCCCTGGCCACGTACGAAGGGGGTGTGTTAATCCCACCCTGCTCGGGGCAGTGATGGGCTCGGGGCAGGCAGCCGGGGGGCTGCCGGTGCTTTTTCCCAAGGAAACAAGGGAGCAAAGTACACACAGCGGTTCCTTTACAAAAACCCCGAGGCCTCTGCCCTTAGATGAAGCCAGAGCGAGTCAACTCTCCCTGCGCACGGCTATGACGGCTGGAAATCCCTCCTTTCAGTGCTGCATCCTGAAATCCCTCCTTTCAGCGTCGCATCCCGAAATCCCTCCTTTCAGCGTCGCATCCCGAAATCCCTCCTTTCAGCGTCGCATCCCGAAATCCCTCCTTTCAGCGCCACATCCTGCCCAGGCATCAAGAGAAAAGGGTGAAGCCAGGAATCGACCAGCACAGCACCAACGTGTACGAGATACACCATGTGCAGGAACAAGATACACGATGAGCAGGAACAAGACCAGGCGTGGACTGCCCTGAGGAATGTCTGTTAACGCCAAGCAAATGGGAAAAAAAGTGGAGGAGTGACTGGCAAAGGAGCGGGAGCACAGCGGACACGTCACTGCGGTGCTGAAGGGATGAGATGTCTGTTTCTGGGAAGCTACGAGCTTTCTCTGTCAAGAGAGATCGTATCCGCCCAGATGAACACAGATAACTGGCCTCCAAACTGCCACCGAAACATAAAGCATTCGTTCAGTTTCTTTATACTCTGCAGTGATAATTGTTACAGAAATCCCCAAAATGTTCCTGAGCATTCTCAGAATGTAAAGTTTAAAAGTTTGGGGTTTTTTTGCTGATGATAACCAGCCTTACCTCAAGATTAAAAAAAAAAGAAAAAGTGAGAGAGAGAGACCATTTCAACTGCGAAGTTAAAGAATTGAGTTGAAGTGACCAGCAGAGCGCACCTCTCAGCACTCTGGGGTAAGACACCCTAAGCACTGTGTTCAAATGTTGCTCTGGGCAAAGATTTTTAGACTTCAGGTCCTGTGGAAATGGCAGAACTACAGACACCGTGGCTTTGCCAAAGCCACCGGTATGGCTTCAAAGTGCTTGTCACCGGTTTGGCAAGCCAGCATGCAGTGACCCCGCAGCGCCCAAAGCAGCATCGCGGCAGCGAACCCGAGCAACGGCTTTTGGAAGGAAGCAGGTGTGTGTTGAAGCTGCTGTTCTCCAGGAAATACAGACAGAAAACGGACAGAGAGAGACCCGATCAGGTCCTGTCCCTTCCCTCTCCACGCCAGATTGCGGAGAACGAACCGTGCTCACTTTTCATCACGTCTGTTCCCATTCTGGGAAGGAGATCCAGGCAGGGAACCCCAGCCAGCAGCATTCCCCAGGCTTCTTCCATCCTGCATCTTCTGCGCAGCACACGGCTCCTCAGCATCCCTCCCCAGCTCTCCACCTTCTCCAGAGAAGTCCTCAAACATCACCCCCAGCTTGGCAGAGTTCACGAGCATCCCAAGGCGTGTTCCTGGGATGCAGTCAGGGGGCAGGACCGCGGGATGCCTGTACAACGACGCAGTGACTCCTACGCTTCCCACCGCTGGAAGAGGAAGACTGTTGATAAAGGCAGTGTATTCCAAAGGGAAGAAGACTTTCCACTGAAACCCAGCATCCTCACAAAACAAATCCTAAAGGCACAAACCGGTGAACTCATCGGAACGGGTTACAAGAGTAATCAGAAAGATTCCTGCGAGATTAAAACAAAGGGTTTCACTAGCAACCTAAGTTTCTGAGACAGCGCTTATGGAGCCTCAGCTTGTATGCTGACAGCAAGAGCGAGGCGGCTCGAGTGCTCCGTGATACCCCACGGTCCTTCCCATCAGACAGCACATGCCATAGTTGCCTGACGTCTTTTTCCTGCAAGCTTATCTGCTAGCTTCCTAAATAACACTGCTCACACAGATAGGGATCTATAGAGGGTTATAAATACACGTGTATATATATATTCACACATTTTAGTCCCTGTAATAAAGGTCTGCTCCCTTCTCTTCTGCGCTGCTGCCAACGCTGATGGCACTGGTGGCTGTTCTCAGAAGCGACTCTACACCAGTCCTCCAGAGAAAGCAACAGAAAGCGGATTACTGCCGCAAGGAGACGCGGTTGGCCCAGCTCAGTCCCGTAATGACTATATACAGAAAAGAAACCCCATAGACACAAAGTCCCACCTTCCCTCCAGCTCACGAACCAGTTCTGCGCAGCCCAGCTGGGCAGCGCCTCTCGGAGCGCCTGCAGCCCGACCAGGATAACTCGTTAAACGTCAGCATCGTCCAGACATTCACATCGGTGGGCAACAAACAACGAGCGGCATGCAACGGTTTTGTGAGAGAAGTCAAAACAATCGATGGCTTTAACATTAGGAGTGTGTCCTGGTAAAGTCAAGATGCGAACAGAGGAGACATACCTAATGGCAGGTTACTCCAGCCTGGGACCTAAGCAAACACGCGTCGGTTAGTTCAACACAAATTAAAAAAGTACCTAATGGCAGCTTACTCCAGCCTGGGACCTAAGCAAACATGCGTCGGTTAGTTCAACACAAATTAAAAAAATAACCCACATGTGAAGTGCACCAAGACCACCAGATTCAGAAAAAAATGATTAATCAATGTTTACAATAAATATTTCCTTGCAATGGGTTTTCTCCTATAACACGATGTATTTTCTTGGAAACAAGAGCAGGGGTGTGAGGGGGAAGCTGCAGCACTTTGCAAAAGGCTTCCCCCACCAGGAAAACGAGAAGCTGCCCATCGCTGGCTCTAAAGTAACACAGCAGCATGGATAATCAACACTTTTCATTTAAATGCCAATCTGAGTTTCCTAGACAAGGAGTGGTCATGGATTCGGTTCAGCCCATCGCTGTCAAGCCTCCTTTGGGATCAGTTTTGGATGTTCTTCAGCTCGGGAACATCTTACATTTCAACCAAGCTTAAGAGCGAGTCTGCAGCAATTCCTACGTGACACCTACAGGGGCTGAAGAAGCAAACGTCTCCTCCCACGTGTTTACACTCCCCGTCTGCCCTCTGACAGCAACCAGGAGCACGGTTCAGAGAATTTGCTTTTGCACACTAGGAAACTTCAGAAGGGACCTGGCAATCCATGACCACTCCCGCCAGGTCCCAGCTACGCAACGACACAGCGGGATAACGCGACAGTCGCGGGGTGTCCCTCCCCAGGACAGCCGACTACGGAGATCAGAGACCAGGACAAGGAAGATGCAGCAGAGGCTACGGCCAAAGAAATTCAGGAGCTTTGGTCTTGAGGTTTCAACAATGACCCTGTTGGCACTCAGAGAAAGAGCAGCCACCAAACAGTCAGAGCTACGACCAGGAGAAAGGACATCATAAAGGGAATGCGTGGAGAAGGAAAAACGCTAGAGTACAGCTGACACTTTTTGAGGGATTTCTGCTCTTCAGGAATTGGAATAGAAACCTTTGGAAGAGTTTCTTCACTTGCTTGCCGGGGAAAGGCTGTCTCAGTAGGTATCTGCTGCTTTTTTAGTTTGTCTTCATCCTGTACTAACAGAGGACGTTCCTGCGGCTGCTTTCGTGGTAGAAGATCAAGAAAGACAGAGAGAGATGAACAAAAATGACAGATGGAAAGTGCCCCCAAAAAATGCTACTTGGAGGTGTGCAAAGCGTTAGGACAGCCTTCCTCTCAACGGAAAAATAATCTGCCCCGGAGAGCAGAGCTGGGGCTGCACCAGCCTTAGAGCTGCAAGATCTCGTCCCCTCTGCAGAGCTCTGGATTGGAATAATCTGTGTTTTGTCACTGCCCTCCCAGAAAAGCGTATGGTCAATACCTACTGGAGTGTTTTGGAATTGGAATGGTTGAGAAAAAAAGTTCAAGGTGTTAGAAATAGAAGTGGCGCAGTACAAAAAAATGTGGTCTGGGAGAGGTTCCTACTCTACAGTGCGCTTAAAAAAGAGCATTTGTTAAATAGCATTGAGCATCCAGACGGCAGTGCAGGTACAAAATGTGTTTTCAAAGTTCTCACGAGAGTATCAAAATTTCAATTGTTTGGAAAATTCTACTGGAACAAGTGAAAAACTGTTACGTCTTAGAAATCCCGGGCGTGGAACAGGCAGGATGGCAGTAGGAGCATTGAGAACTCCTTCAATTTTCCTCTGCAATTTTAGCACTTTTGTTTCTGGAGTCTGAAGAAGGTAAAACCCAGAATGAGTACATCACCGTGTAGGATCATGCAAGGGCTCTAGTGCTTTTGTTCAAGAAAGAAAAGATTGTGGGGAATCTTGCTGTTCAGGAACTCTCCGTCCCTTTAGTTTCCCAGACCTGGTCAAACCCAAGTGCCCCTAGGAGAGGAAAAACTTGGCTCTGAGCTCTCTCAGCTGAGCTAACCTCCTTTGATCAGTGCGATATTTTGGGACTGGCTCTTTGCACACCCCTAAGTGATGAGTATTGGGGAGAAAGTAGCTGGGAGACTGGGCAGCAAAACAAAAAATACAATGCAAGAGTAAACATGATCATTGAAACGAAAAAACGGAAAGAAAGACAACATAAAAAGAACAGGGTAGAGTTAAACTTTCATAATTGCTTTTCTCTCCGAATACACGGTTTTATCTTTCATGCAGCTTTTTTTCCAACCAGCCATGCACCAAAATAAGCAAAATTGAAAGCTGCAAAAGCTGCAGCAGTGCAAGAGTCCTCTCAGTGTGAGTTATGAAACTACTTCATGTAGCCAAAAGAAAAAAAAAAAGTTATCCAGCAGCTGCTGTCGAGTTTTTGCTTGGTGCCATTGCAATAGCAAAAGTCTGGTTCCACAGCGCAGATA